CCTTCTCTCGCCTCTTTGCTCTTTTCTTCTCTCTCTCTCTCCTTTTTTTGCGCTTTTCTGATTTCTTTCTCTTTCCGATTCACTGGATTAGTCTTCTACTCTCCTATTCCTTTTTGCGTTATTTTTTCGCTTGCTGCGTTTCTCCGTCTCTTCTCTTCCTTCTCCCTTTCCCCTTGTATTGTTAATGCAGTGATGGTCACTGATCTGGGTTCTCGCTCACCATTGGGATGAATGGGTACGCTTGAGGGACCTTATTTCTTCGGTTGCGCTCTGCGTCAATTGATCGGTGTTTCGCTTTATATGGATGGTGAATGCATTCGTGATTTGTTGTTATAATCAAACTATGCTTTCCGTTATTCGATCTATGCTTGCACATTTCTAAATGATGGATGAACTTTTGGGATCCTGCATTCCCACTATCGCATATTTTTCTTTGTGTTATTTCTTGTAATTTCGAACCGATTGGCGCATGGCAACCCTCCCCCAAACCCATATACGTGCTTCGCCACTATCGCAAAAAGAATGCGGCCTATAGGCCTTGGTTTCCCCATCACAAATGGACAAATGAGTGGTTTTACCCCGCCGCTGTGAGATCTTGCCCCTTGCGGTGTTTACCCTGTGCCTAGTATGCCGGCGGAACGAAGCCGGAGCAGTACAGGTATGACGTGTCGTACTCGTATGAATCACATGTGACACACACATGCAACACACTCGAGAGGACGTGATCCTCGATCGCTGTCGGGGGGTGCCCCCCCTGACCACACTAAGGTGCGCTCTGCGGGCGTTCCTTGTACGCCCTCTTTTTCGCAAGTGCGGGATAAGGATGGTGGCTATGGGGTACGCCGAGGCGATCTGAGCGTTGATGGGGCTGTTGGCTGTGATGGGTCAGAGGTCGAGTGTTGCGAGATCTTGTGATTGAAAAAGCGGAAGGGAAAGACTAGCGGTGGAATGCGTGCGTTGACAGATTGTTATGTTGTCTCCGTGGTTGTGATTCTGTCTTCGAAATGAACCCCCTGTTTCCACCATTTCCCTCCCTATGTATGACATACACTTACCCCCCTCCCGCCCCCTTTCCCCTTCTCCCTTTCCCCTGCCTTCTCCTGTCCCACATGCTCCTTTACCAACGCGGGTCGTAGGCGGAAGCAGTAATGACTCTTCCTTCCTCTCGCCCTTCCTCACCTTTTTCATCCTCTATCCTCCTCACCAATTCCCTATTCCCTTCGTCCTCTTGAACCGTTCCCCCCTCCCCCCTTCCTCCTTCTTCCTCCTGCCTCCTCTTTCCTCCCCTCCTCTTGTTGATCTATGACCTTTTTTCCCCCCACCCGCTCACATCGCAGCGTCCTCCACGAGATTCCTTTCCGGGAGGATGGTGGAGCGAGATCACGCATCGATTCCCCTGGCTGAAGGAGTGCACCTGGCCTACGAAGCCTACACAATTACTGATGGCCTGTGTCAACCCCGACGTCATGGATGCAATAAAAACAGCCTGGGATACCGGCCGCTTCCCACACTTCTTCGAAATGCTATGTTTCAGTGATCTCGCTGTGCTTGCCGCAGCCTGGGAACGCAGTAGGGAAGAGTTCGACGATGAGCTTAGGGTCCTCTGCGAGAAACTCGAGCTCAGGAAAGGGGAGTATGACAAAGAGTGTAGGGAGCTCGTAGGAAGGACAGCGAGGGTGGAGCAGATCCTCCTGAAGATTTGGGAGGTCAATGACTCACACTTGGAAGGACGGGTACCAACAACCGTTCCAGCCTGCTCACCCGCGCCTCACGGTGGACACGTAGTTAGGTGTGATGACCTTGCGATCGAAGATGAAGAAAAGGAGGAAATGGAGAGGGCTATCGCCGCCATCACAGCCACGATTAGAGATTCCCCCCTCACCGCCAACAAGGATTGTGGCAATACCTTTGAACGGGATCGCTACACCACCTTCGCACCGATAGCCTCCACATGCTGGGTAGAGCACACATCCCCTGCTTTCCAACACGCGATTTGGAAAATGGAAACGTTTAACCATATCGCGCCAATCTCCGTCAGGGCTCTCCAATTCCTCGGCAACATCACGGACGCACAGGTAAAAGAATGCATAACGCAGGTACTGAAAGGTAAGCTGAAGTTTTCAGGGAGGGTTACCCCGTTAGACCCACAGGACCTGAAGTTTCCACCCATGCGCACGTTAGACCCGGACAAGTGTGGCGAGACCAGCTCAGGCCTGTGGCAAAAGGCCATTAGGCAGCAAGAGAAGTGCGATCTCAGGAACCTGAAGAAGATTTGGAGCGTCGGAAGACCCTACCTTAAATGTAAGTGCAAAAAAAAAGGAACAAGGACTGCGGCGACACCCCTCTCTCGTTTGACCACGTCCTCTGGTTTCTACTGGCGCACCCAGACATCCTATTCCCTGACATGTCCTCCATAAAAATCAGGACATCCATGTTAATCCACTACCTCAGGACTACATGGAAGGATGCAGTGCTTGCGGCTATCGGTTTTCATTTCCTGAGAGACCTGATGATGGGATTCGTGAGAGAACTTGAGAGCGATGCTACGCTTAATGCTGAGAGCATCTTGAAAGAGGAGCGTCTGTGGAACTATCCTATTCCCGCATCGATCGCCCGAATCATGCTCCCCACATGTATCCCTGAAAAACCAACAAGGTTTCCGCTCACTTCCCCACGAGCGGTGGCGAGAAAGAGAGTGGGTGCCATGCACATACCGGGCCAGACCACATTGAACTTCTGTAGGGTTGCTACTGTGAATGATTCCCCGCCTCCCCCTCCCCCTCCCTCTCCCCCTCCCCCTCACCCCTCCTCGGCCCCACATTGAACTTCTGTAGGGTTGCTTCAGTCGGGGAGTTTTGCGCCAATCTCCCGGAGAAGATATTCTCTGTCTTCACAACTGACATCACGCGGTGTTTCGAGATGATCCCCACGGA